TCCTGACACCATCTCTATCTTTTATTCCTCCATCGATGCGATTTAGATTATTTATCAGGCGAGCCTCCGACCCTGCATGTCAGGGCCAACCCAGACTGATAGAGATACAACATCTCATCAGAAAAGTCTAGATAATTAATGTTCTCTCCCCACTCGGGAATCGAACTCGGGTCGCCCGTGTGCGACAGGAAAGCACACAACTGCCACTGCCACTGCTACACCACAGACACCGGTTAGGCCGATGTAAACTAATCTATTGAAATTCAACAAGTTCAAACGTTTTAGTTTTGCCCCTGACAGACTCTTCAATAAAACAAGACTTGACTTCAATGAACGTTGACTGATTGTATGATTACAAAATAGTTGTTAGACATTTTTTAGCCGCCCCCCGACCACGTCAACTATCCATAGTCGACCGTATGATGAAAAAAAAGTCCAAGACGACTTTCTTTATTATGCTCAACCAAACAAATCGGACAGGTGTACACCTACCTTTACATTCATCGATTCCCCCAATCATTTACATGTATTTCCTCGTCCATCTCATGTCCCACTGAACAGATACATCGTCTGTTTACTTCCTTCTTGCTTTGAGGGAAATAATCTTTAATTGATTAATTAATTAATTAATTAACTTTGGGGGGGGGGGGAGGTCAAGTGCTTATAATCAGTAGACTTTAAAATCATCACAATCACCACCACCACCATCATCATCATCATCATCATCATCATCATCATCATCATCATCATCATCATCATCATCATCATTACTATACTGCCTTTGTATTGTTACCGTGGTGGATCAGGGTATATAAAAACCACAAACAAACACTTTCCATTGATCCCTATCCTATGTTCACCTCCTGATATTGTTCTCTGTCTTCCTACTGTTTTGTGACCTACATCCTCTGTGACTCTTCTCCAGATTCTATGTAGCCGTTTTCTCGATCTTTTACTATTGTTACCCTGTGGATTAATTCAAATCTAATACTTCCTTTGTATGCAGCTGCCTGACCTCCTACTTCCGGGGGAGAGTATGCCCAATCCATCGCCACCGCCATCTTCCCACTTTATCTCCGACTGGGCTCTATCTCGTTCTCCTCAACGCTTCCTCGTTGGTGACCCTATGACCCTATCTGTCTGCCCATCTGAGCCTGAGTGACTTTCTCACACACTTGATCAAGATAACCTGAATTCTCTTCATGCAACTCTGAGATGCGCTCCATGTGTCTCATATCCAATCTGCAAGACTGTTAGAATTTAAGTTGAAAAATCTTCATCTTTGTCACATTATGTTTGCTTTCAAAAACTGTGCCAGTCTGTTGATTTCTTTGTTGTTTTGCATGCCAATGCTTGGCCGAGCACAGCGTAAATATGTAGGTTATTTATGTCTGCAAAAAGTGAAACAGTGACAGGATCACAGAAAGAAGGCTTTGTGAATTAATCGGCGCCCATCCTTATGGTAAGTTATTTAGCAATAGGGACGAGGTTATATTATGCACAATCACCAAAATCGAATCGAACAGGTGCGCACCGTTTTTTACGTCATCGATTCACCCAATCACAGCCCCGTTCATCTCCTGTCCCACTTAACAGATACATGTCATGTCCCACTGAACAGATAAATCTCAGTTCCCATTGAACAGATACATCTCATGTCCCACTGAACAGATACATCTCAGGTCCAACTGAAAAGATACATCTCATGTCCCACTGAACAGATAAATGAACAGATAAATCTCACGTCCCACAGAACAGATAAACGAACAGATAAATCTCACGTCCCACAGAACAGATAAATGAAAAGATAAATCTCACGTCCCACAGAACAGATAAACGA